TTCAGAGAGAGGAAGGGAGAGGGAGAGAGAGAAACATCAGTGATGAGAGTCACTGGTCGGCTGCCTCCTGCACGCCCCCCACTGGGGATCGAGCCTGCAACCCGGGCGTGTGCCCTGACCGGGAATCGAACCCCGATCTCCTGGATGCTAGGTCGACGCTCAACCGCTGAGCCACACCCAATTGGGCTATTGATTGATTTTAGACAGAGGAGGAGGAAGAGAGAGGGAGGGGAAGAGAGAGAGAGAGACAGAGAGAGAGACACCGATTTGTTCCAGTTATTTATGCATTCATTAGTTGCTTCTTGTTTGTGCCCTGACCAGGGATTGAACCCACAACCTTGGCATATTGGGACGATGCTCTAACCAACTGAGCCACCTGGCTAGGGTTGGTAAAAATGATTTGATTGGTGAATTGGCTTTGGCCTGGAAGAAACTATCTGATGGGGACACCATACTGGGAAGCTTCGGAGGGCAGGGAAATAACTAGTTATGTCTTCCAGGAGCTTTGGAAGCTATGCCTGCGGAGCTGTTACGAGGGCTGTCGGGCACTGACCATGCACCTTCTAGCAGGTGGCTCCCGCCTGACACAGCGTGGACTTCAGCACCTCGTGCGGATGTGGCGCTGCTGTGCGCCGCTCGGGCTCCTGAGGAGCGCCTGGCACTGCCCCCCGCATGCTGCTTCCTGTCCCGGGTTCCCCGAGAGAGCATGGTGCCAGATGTGGACTCGTGTAATCTTCTAAGTCTGAATGTTTACTGGGATTTAAGACAACACCTTGATGACGTAGCAAAGCATTCTGCTTGGAACTCATGGCGTGCATACATACATTTGGGGCACGGATTGGATGTGCGTAGGACTAGGCCTTCCCAGTCAGTGTGTATTAATGGTTCCAAGGTCCATGCACACCAGACAACAAAGGTTTTCAGTTTTCTTCATTTGAGTCTTGCACTTATTAAATTTATGGTATTTTTAAAAGTGTAAACCATAAATAACCCTGAGAAACTAGAGCATACAAACCATAATATTGAAATTGTAATTGTATTAAAAGTTCAATTACAGCCTGGCCGTGGCTCAGCGGTCGAGCATCAACCTGTGATCCGGGAGGCGGCCATGTGATTCCTCATCAGGGCACGTGCCCGGGTTGTGGGCTCCATCCCAGGTTGGGGGCGTGCAGGAGGCGGCCGATCGGTGACTCTCTCATCTTCGATGTTTCTCTCTCTCTCCCCCTCTCCCTTCCTCTNCGGCCGATCGGTGACTCTCTCATCTTCGATGTTTCTCTCTCTCTCTCCCTCTCCCTTCCTCTCTCTGAAATCAGTAAAGATATATTTTTTAAAAGTTCAATTACAAATACATGTATGCCTTTGCAAAGAGGTTAGTGAAAATAATTTATAATGTATAGTACTTGAAAATAAAATTCACATCCCTTATGCTTAAAAGAACATTTTCCATTTCACTTCTCTGCACCTGGTTTTATAAATAGCAAATAGAACTTATCTGACATTAGGGAATCTGTTCCACATAAACGCACTTACAAGGTGACTTAGCACCAATACTTCTGTTAAATTGCCGTTTCTCTCCTAAACACATTTAAAAGTGATTCTCAATCCTTTTTAGGGTCGTTGGGATTGAACTTATGTTCAGCCTAGACTTCTGTCATCTTCCTTTTACACCTGAGCTCCTTAACCTGAGAACCTTCTGACTGGGCCTCGCAGGTCAGTGGGCTCCGCCAGTCGTTTCCCCGCGCTGCCCTCACTCGCGAGCGTTCACGGACATTCCCTCCATCCGGGACCCGGTCTAGGCGCCAGCGACACAGCGGTCACAAAGCCACCACCTCCTTGGTTACCTAGTCATTTGGCGACGTTCACATCACAGACTACAACAGCGAGAGGTAGTACCAAGTGTGGTACGTGTGGATCTGTTTCAGGGAGGTCTGGGTTTTTGCTCTACGCCCTCGTGTGCGGGGTGAACTATACATCCAACTCACCGTTTTTAAGTGCACAGACCTGTTGCGCTTCACACATTCGTTGCTGTGCAGCCATCACCACCATCCAACTCTTTCTTCTCTGAAACTCTATACAAATTAAACGCCAACTCCCCATTCTCTTTAAGTACTTTTAATTTTTCCAAAGTAAAGTGAGCAGAGCCACGCTCTGCTGAAACCGCGGTGTTTCGATTACCCACGTGTCCGTGCTCACCTGCGAGGGGAGAGGAATCTGTTTAGGCCCTCTTCGACAGCCTCAACTTTTTCAGTCTTGTCCCCGTATCTCACTGGTAAAGTGCATTACATTCCCTGCATGGAGTATCCTCTCAAATGTACACACAAAAAACGCAGTATCTGTAGAAGTCTGAAAAATTATGCCATGAAAATCTATTCCAGGGTTAAATTATCATCAGAAACACACCTAGGTTCATATCCCAGTATCCTGGTGAGGACTCCTTACTGGTTTGTTAAGCAACTGCTTTCTTTTTAGACTGAGCACCAAGCGAGGTTTCCCGATTGGAGAGCCTTTTTGAGGTCCTTTACAAGGGAAGTGTAGGGCAGAATTAGCCAAACGGGGTGCCGCAGTGTGGGTGCATTTTTTTGTACTAACATCAGGTAGTCTTTTTCCCCCATCAGTTCCTTTTTTTTTTTTTTTTACCTCGCCATATTGTTTTAGGAAAAGTTACCTCAATTTCATCTTGAAATAATTTTGCGGTGTATATAATTCAGAGCATAGCTTACTTTCCTTTAGTAAAACCTGAACACCGTTTGCTTCAAGAAAAGACCTCCCGCCCAGCCGGCGTGGCTCAGCCACTGAGCATCAACCTATGATGCTAGGGGATCATGGTTCGATTCCCGGTCAGGGCACAGGTCCGGGTTATGGGCTTGATCCCTAGTAGGGGCATGCAGGAGGCAGCCAATCAATGACTCTCTCATCATTAATGTGTCTCTCCCCCCCCGAAATAAAAACATATTAGAAAAAAGACACCTCCCTTTCATATTTAAAATGACAAAACCTGGTATTTCACTTATTTGCTTTCTTGGAAGTTACTCAGGCCTTTCTTGTTTTCTATATTACTCTCCATCAATGGTATCTCTCACGTTACCTTTTAATGTGTATTTCATAGAATACAAAAATGCACTGATTTTGACCATCCAATCCACTTAATTTCAGATTAGGTGGGAGAAAAGGAAATTCACATGCCTAAAGTTAAGTTTGGCATCAGAAGTGGACATATTTTGAATAAACCTTTTACATTACAAGTAAGACTTTTAATTGCCATAATAAGTGATACATATTTGTGCTTCATAGTTCTCAAGGTGCTAGGAAATTCAAGTGTTCTAAGCCACATCCTAAAAAACAAGCAGCCAGGCAAGTCTCTCTGATTCCATAGGTGATGTCTATGACAGGAGCTTTTGTCCAGAGGTTTGCATGATGTCCTTGAATTTCTATGTAAAATTGTTCCTCTCCACACTTCATAGGGTAACTAACCACTGTTAGAAAACTGGTGCATATTCTTATAGATTTTATCTATGCACAAAATGATTTAAAACCCAAGTATTTGTATACACAAATTTTCTATGTGCATTTTCTAGGAAGACATATTGCATTTTTTCCCCAGATTTTTAAGGGCTCCATGAGTCACCCCCCTCCCCCCACCCAAATAAGTAGGAACCACTGTTGTAAGGAATTAGAAACATTTTTTTTTAAATCACTTTAATATAGGTAACAGAAGAGGCCCAGAAATACCCAATTTTTATTTCTATGTTGCACATCCATACAATGTAACACATCTAGTCTTTAAGCCTTATATCCAAGTATCTGTAACATTACACCAACGCACCCACTTCTGACAGCTGTTCCCTTCTATAAAAAAACTTGATTCAAGTTGAAACCACACCTCTCAACCCCCTTCCCCTCTTGAGCAGGGCCCAGCCCCTAAGGTTATCATCTTTGTCTTCTCTTGTCTAACATTCCAGGTATTCCTCTGCCTTATAAGGCCATTACACTTGCTGTTTCCTACCCCTAACCTGCTCTTCCAGGTATCTACAAGGCTCCCACTGCCTTCAGATTTTACTCAAACTTCACCTTCTCAGGGAAGACTCCAGACTGCCCTATTTAAATTTGTATTCCCACCTCCCTTACTTCCCTCCTCCTTCCCCGCTTTTTCTCTCCATCAACACGTATGTAACGCACCTACATTATGTTTAATGTCTCTTCATATCGCCAATTTCTTCCAGATTGGGGGCTGTTATAATTTTTTGTTGATATAAATTTTAAAGTATTTCCATAGTCAACAGATTAGTAATGTTCTCTTTAGGGCAATGAATCTGTCTTTTAATAACCTGGCTTAAAGAACAAAACCCCTCCTGGGACCAACAAGAGTTTGCTTTGTTCTTTGGATAGTCTTTACTAGCAAAAATAATTTTTCTAAGACAGACATTTTGAAAAGTTAGTTTTTTAAAGTCGAAATCAAAAGTTTATAGCAGCATTTTTAAAAAAATGTTTTTATTGATTTTGAGAGAGGGATAGAAACATGGAGAGAAACATCATCGATCCATTGCCTCCTGCACGCCCCCTACTGGGGATCGAGCACACAAACAAGACATGTGCCCTGACCAAACCAGTGACCTCATGTTGCATGGGACGACGCTCAGCTGAGCCACACCAGCTGGGATCTATACTTTATATAAAGGTCATCTGACAGATCAGACACCTCTTTGCCAAAACACCCCCCTCTTACCTTACAGTACAGTCGTTTAAGTGTTTCCTACTAGAATGTGGACTTTTTGAAGACATGAACCATATTATTTTTATTCAGTATGAAATACCACGCTGAAGGACTCTCAATATTTACAAGGTGGTCAATAAAAATGGAAGAGTAAAACAAAGGTTTTTAAAGACTGAAGAGACAAGGATTACATTTAGGTGTAAGCAAAAATGTTAGGAAAAAGGGAGGACTGCTTACCAAATCAATCATTATATTTTCCCATTTTTAACACAATAAAGAGACAGTCCCATTTTCAAAGAAATTAACTTTTATTTGAAAGGAGACTACTTTTCCCCACACATATCCTCTAAGAACTCTATACGATACAACAGCCTGCTTAACCATTGTTCCATACCAAAATTTCTAACAGGAAAGTATACAACTGCTCTAATAAATAAATAATAAGGGTTGTCCTTCACTGATTAAGAGAATACTTCAATAAATTCAACACACACAAAAAAATCACACTTTGTAAGTTTTAACAGATGTAGTTTAAATACGTTTTATAGGAGTCCACAAGCTTTCCATCTCTAGAAAAAATGAATCATTAAGGTTCAAAATTTCCATATTTTCAAAAGAAATGACCAAGTGTTTTCTTTTATAGCTTCAAACTTTCTACACTCAACTATTTGCTCCATGCCACCCGACAAACCCGACATGACTGAACTACTTTATGTGTTACTACCTTCCCCAAAAGAAAATTAAAAAAGGAGTTTGTTATAAATGTAGATTTCTAATACAATATCTAATACAGTTATCTAACACAAAAGAAGCTTTAAAAAGATCATTTCTTTCCTCTTTTGATTAGCCAGGAGTTAATTTTCTGTAAAAGCAAAGAAAAAAAAAAATCATTTAACACTGGGGGTTCCTTTTTTACTCAAGATGTTCAACTATTCAAAATGACACATCTTTAAGAGTATAATAAAAAGGGTGGAAAACAGCAATACAATTGACAAAGTGTGGATGCTAAATAAACCAAAGGTTTTTTTACAGATTCTTTTTAAGAAGCAGGAAGGATTAGAAGCTCAGGGAAACCCAGAATCAAACGAGAGAGAAAAAGATTCTCAACTGCAATCATTCTCTTCATCAATAGCGTCCTGAAAGAGAAGGAAAAAAAAGTTAAAGGACAATTATAGTTGACCTGCCTATTATTTTTCTATTAACAGTCACCACATAACCCTAATCTTCTAAAATCAACCATCAATTGGAAATGTTCTTTTTTTATATATTAAATGTATTGGGGTGACAATGGTCAGTATGAACAGAGGTTTCAGGTGTGGGTTTCTATGTTACAAGACCTGTATATTGCTCTGTGTGCCCACTACCCAAAGTCCTATCTTCTCCCATCACCATATATTAAGAACCTCTTCATCCCCCACCCAGAAACGAGGTTCTTAATGCCACAAAAGCAGAGGACGTACTTGGGCTGTAGGAACGAGATCTTGATCGTGATCTGTATCGACTATAGTAAGGAGAAGGTGATCTTCTTCTGTAGGAAACAAAAGATTACTTAGCATACACATAGTCCACTGAGGTGGATGAAAATAAAAATTCCCTGTCATTCAAAATAATGATGGACTCAAGATAATAATTACTAAGTTCTCTGTGTGCCAATGATACTAAAACAGTAAGTACATGGCACAACCAAATACTGGCAAATGTGAATTTAACCTCTGTACTCAGTCTTGAGAAAGTCATTTTTTCCTACTTTCTCAAGAAAGTATCATATAAAATCTTTTAAATATTTTTATTAATACATATCAAACATAAATCAAAAGTGCCAAATACCACTATCACTTAATTTAGAACAGAAACCACAAGCTGTATATTACCTGTACCGGTAATCATAGTCTTCATATCTGTCATAACCACGCTCGTATCCCCTATCGTAGTAAGAATCCCGCCGTCTGCCACCTCCTCCGCCTCCACCACCGCCTCCACCTCCGCCACCACCACTACTACGGAAAAATGTAAACATTTTACATCAATGTGAACGACTATTTTCCAGTATCACTTAATACAACAAAATGGTACTTAAGTAAAATAAAATGGAGGAAGGAGGCAAGGTAAGGGAAAGAGTAGCCCTTTAACGCCAGCTACCCCATGTCTTAGTTTGTTGCCGCTGACAGTATTCTGCCTGACTTCCTATTCATTACACAAATAACCAGGAAAGATTTCACACAACTCTCAAAACTAGAAACTCTTCTTTCTTTTTCTTTAAATATGTCTTTATTGATTTCAGAGAAAGAAAGGGAGAGGGAGAGACAGAAATACCAATGATGAGAATCATCGATCAGCTGCCTCCTGCGCACCCGCTACTGGGGATCAAGCCTGCAACCCAGGCATGTGCCCTGACTGGGAATCCAATCCGGCCTGGTCCATGGGTGGATGTTCAACCACTGAGCCACATGCCAGGCTAAACTGCTCTTCTATTAATGCACTGACTAACTCACCAGGACTTTTTCAACAAGGTGAAATGAACTGTGCTGGGAAGCAATACCAAAACACTACAATGTGTATCCTTATGACTGAGTCAAAGCAATTAAAAAAAGTCAAGAATACTCTCATTTATGTTCTCTACATAATGTAAAGCTTTTTTTAAAAAAACAAATGCTAATACCAGTAAAACTCTTCCCTACAGAGGCTTCCCAGGTTACATAACAGAAAGGGAGTGCTGGTGGTATGCCTCAGTTGGCTGGAGCGTCCCGTACACCAAAAGGTGATGAGTTCGATTCCTGGTCAGAACACATGCGCAGGTTGCGGGTTCGATTCCTAGTCAGGGTGGGTGCGGGAGGCAACTGATTGATGTTTCTCTCTCTCCAAATCAATTAAAAAAAAAAAGGAAAGAAATAAAAAAAGAATAGAAAGGGAATAAATACTTTCTTAAAAGCATATGGTATTTTTCTAGTGTCTAATAATTTTTCTATTTGTATAGGACCAAGGGCCAGAAATGCACATCAATAGTTTTAGTTACTCTACCTGCACCCGCGCATGTGCGCGCACACACGCACACACAGTTGACCCTTGAACTGCATGGCCTACTTATACACAGATTTCCCCCCAATAAATAAATACCTGTACTGTTTTCAATCAATGGTTGGGAGTCTGTGGATGCAGACAGCCAACTGTATGCATTGATCTACACCATTTTACATAGGGCACTTGAGCATCACAGATTTTGGTATCCACAGGGGTCCTAGAGCCAATCCCTGGCAGATACTAAGGGAAAACTAAGTTTTCAGAGTTAAAACTTGTATGTGGATTTTTAGACTTTTTTCTTTTAATATATCTTTATTGATTTCAGAGAAGGAAGGAGAGGGAGAGAGAGAGAGAGAGAAACATCAATGATGAGAGAGTCATTGATCGAGCCTACAACCTGGGCATGTGCCCTGACTGGGAATTGAACCCGGATCGCCTGGATCCCAGGTCGATGCTCAACTGCTGAGCCACGCCCAACCGGGCAGTATGTGGATTTTTGACTGTACAGGAGTTAGTGCACCTACCCCTTGCGTTGTTCAAGGGTCAATTGTATATATAAGAAAATAAATACAATGATTCAAAGAATATATATAAATTAAATAAACTTACACTTTAATTATAGGAAAAAATTTATCTTTTGACTAATCAAAATTTTGTAGACGTTTCTGGTGGATGTCTGGCTAAAATAGTTTAGCTTAGGAAACATGCAATCTTACTGAGTTGGTCTGCCCATGTAGATGCCTGGTGTAGGTGTGTGCGCTCTCTTGGTGATAGAATAATCCACACGAATTCTTCTACCGTCCAGCTCCATTCCATTTGCCCTTTCCATAGCCTTTAAAGGAGGACAGGCATAGAAAGTCAAGCAAAATTCACCAAGGAGAGACTATAAAAGCTAATAAATGAAGCATTTTCCAATTGAAATTTCAAAAATTAAAATTGCCCACTTATTTTTCAAACGGGGTAGGATTTTACATACTAATCCCTGTTATATGCATCTCAACAGTGTTGAGTTTTCTAATGTCCACATGGACACACAAGCAAGCCTGTGTTGAAAGACTGGGGGCAGCTACAGCCACAGAGAAGGAACTGCACAATTCAGGGAAGCCTGCATAACTTTGAGGCTGCCGTGACTAATTTCAGTCTGGACAATTCAAAGCAGAAATTGCAATTCAACTGCCAAGTCTAAACTAGTCAAGCCATTCCTTAAGAACATACTGCCACCTAGTGACCTGCAAACAGAAAGGAACCTCAAACCTCTCATTAGTGCTCCTGTCTTTGTATCTGCATTTACATTCCCTATCACTTTGACCTTCAACACTAATACCAATAAATGCAATAATACCTAAATCACTTTAAACAAATTTGCATGAAGTTCTTTGCTACTAAGTAAAGTTGCCATTTTCATTTTATTTTACCCAGGAATAAACCTGGGAGGAAGAATAGAGAGATAAGACAAATAAGTTTCAAGTTTTAAAAAATTTGAATTGTAATATTGTTCACAATTTTCAACATTCACTTCACGTCATGTGTCTTGGTATTCCTACATTTACACCTTAAGCCCTCAGCTGAGAACAGGAATAAGCAAATCACAACCAGTAGCCCTCCTCCCCCATGAGCAGTTTCAGTTGTCCACAGTCAACCCTGGGATGAAAATATTAAAATGGAAAACTGCAGAATTAAACAATTCGTAAGTTTTAAATTGTGTGTTGTCCCTGCTGGGATGTGAATCAACCATGTCCAGCATACACACACTGTATAAGCTACTCCACCCCAGTCCCCTGTTAGCAACTTGAGTGGCTGTCTGGGTTGTCAGATCAACAGTCACAGTATCTCAGTGCTTGTGCTAATGGCCCCAAAGCATAAGAATAGCAATGCTGGCAATTCGAATATGCCAAAGAGAAGCTGTAAAAAGTGCTTCTTTTAAGTGAAAAGTTTGGCACTATCAGCAGTTTCAGGCATCCACTGAGGTCTTGGGATGTATCCCCTTGTGGGAAAGGGGGAACTACTATATACTATACGTAACAGTAAAAAACAATACTGACAAAACATCAGAATGCCTATCACATAAAGGTCTCACAACCTGAAACTTTATTTTGTTATCGACTTTTCCAGGGTTTTACAACCACAGCACTACTAACATTTTGGGGCTGCTAGTTCTATGCTGTGCACTGTAGGATGTTTAATATCATCCTTGGCCATTATTATTTTTAAAAGATAAGCTAACATTTATGATTGCTTATGTTGCAATCAAACACTGTTGACGCATACAGCAATAATGACCTATATCCAACTACTGTCACACGTAAAATGGTACAAAAAAGAAATGCTAGTACTTGTCATTTATTAAGGTTTGATAGAGCCTTAATAATGAGCTTCTAATTCTTTAAAATGGAGTTTTCTAGCTCAATCACTATAAACTTTTAGTACAGAGAAAGCAAGCCTACTGCTTCCTTTATAATCCAATACCTATTACATCAGAATGGCAGTATTTCAAATCATCCAGTTAGGCAAATTAAGAATGGCACCAAACAAAGATTAAAGAGTACTAACTCTTTTCATGTATTATTTTTCAATTATAGAACAGAATGATAGATGAATATTAAAAGACTAGAAAAAGCTCTTTTCTATACATGGGGAGCTAATAAGAAACAAAATTAAACCTAACCACCACAATTCTAAAAAGTGAATTGAATCACCGGCTTGGAGCATGAATAAGACTTATTTAAAAGTAACACATGCTTCAATTTTTCCATTAACTCAGACATATACATTTCACTTTATTATTATTTTTAATCCTCACCGTGAAGATATTTTTTCCATTGCTTTTCAGAATAGAAGGGGGGGGAGAAACATTGATGTGAGATACACACATCAATCTGTTGTCTCCCACATGCACAGGGTTGGCCGGGGATCAAGCCTGCAACTGAGGTACATGCCCTTGGCTGGAATCAAAACTGGGACCCTTCAGTTCGCAGGCTGACACTCTAACCACTGAGCCAAACCGGCTAGGGCTAACATTTCATTTTACGAGAGATTTCAATAAGGATGTGCCTATACCAGAGCGTGAAACTGGCCATTCTAATTTTAACACTAAGAACCAGAGTTTGAACCAGGTCAAGAATTAAAGAGGACATGTTTATGGAACTGGGAGTCTATTAATCAACTTTAAATAGTAACTCAATACTATAATCATGCACATCAGAAAATGTTCAAAGTGACAATTATAAAAACAAAATTACCTCCTTTGAGTCATCTATTCTCTCAAAATAGACAAAAGCAAATCCTCGTGATCGTCCAGTTCGCTGATCATAAACCACATTGACACCACTCAATGGTCCGTATCGAGAAAATACTTCACGAAGATCTCTCTCTGTTGTGTACAAACTGAGGCCAAACACTCCAAGACAAGTATTAGGATCTGGATTTGCCTATTGAGTAAAGATGTCATTTAACTTTAAGCTCCAAATTAAAATAAACATTAATACACAGAAATACTATGCTTAGAACACCTCATCCAATACACAAAGACTACATTGTTTCAAGTGACTTGGAAATAATTTAAGAGGAAAAAAACCAGATGAGTTATACCCTACAGTTCACAATACACTCAGGCCCTCTTTGGAATATACTTCAGGTTGTATGTAGCCTGAATAAAAACAACCCTACTTTCTAGACCAGCAATTTTCAGAATGTATACTAAGAATTCATCCTTAGTTTAATGCCATATTTCCAGTTTATTCAAATGTTTTACATCCCTTTTAGATGTGTACTCAATCTGACTTCACCTGCAACTGCTGATTACATGCCCCCCCATTCCTTAGCAGATTTACAGGGGAGTATGCAGTATCACATGGAGAAGAGCAGCATAGTAGTTAAGCACAGGAACATTAGAGTGAAGAGTCTGGTTGAAACCTGGCTCTGCCAGTTAGCCGGAAAACAAACCTCAGCGTCATATATTCCAGACTCAATTTCCTTATCCATAGCACGGTAACTTGCCTCACTGATGTTAAGAGTATTAAGTAACTCTGCACAGTGCTCACACTATGAGTGCTAGCTATTTATATAGTTTTCCGTCTTTACTTGTTGTCTGTCCCCCAACTTTTTAAAAAATATATCTTTATTGATTTCAGAGAGAGAGAGAGAGAAACATCAATGATGAGAGTCACTGATCAAGCCCACAACCCAGGCATGTGCCCTGACCGGGAATTGAACCCCGATCACCTGGATCCTAGGTCGATGCTCAACCGCTGAGCCACGCCTGGCCGGGCTGTCCCCCAACTTTTTCTTGGAACATATAATTTCTCCCCAAATTTCATCTCTTTTAACTGCTCAGAAGTCAAGAAAAGACAAATACTTAAATGTATATTAAATAATATCCATACCCTCAAGGATGCTTCTTGAGCACTACTTTTTTAAACAATGGTCTTGCTCTCATAAAGGAAGATATTATGCTATGACGAAACACATTATTAAAGACAAAATAAGCTTTCATTAATCTATGAAAACCACATACCCTGCTGCCTGTATGCCTTCTCCGGTTAGACATTGGAGAATGACTTCGGCTCCTTCGACGCCGGTATTCTGGTGTGTATGACCTACTTCGAGAACGTCTCCTGTGAGAGTGAGAATGGGATCTGGATCGCGTGTAACGTCTGTGAGAATGCCTCCTTGACCTGGACCTTGGAGAGAAATAAATTTAGATAATACTGAAACACATGGTTACTGCCAAGGACCTACATATATCCCTGCTTACTTTTCACTCCTTTCTGAGGAAGGGAGCCTTCCCCTTGTTCTCCTAGTCATTACAATCTCCTCCTTGCTCTCAGTCTAGCCCTTCACATTCACTCTTTTCACCTTACAAGTATGTGAAGACTCTAGTTTCTTTAAAAACAAAAGCAAAAAAACCTGACTACCACTGGGAAGGAAATTCTGCAATATTCAACATGGATGAAATTTGAGGGCATTATGCTAAGTGAAACAAGTCAATCACAAGAAAACAAATACTGTATGATTCCACTTACATGAGGTACTTGGTAGTCAAAATCATGAAGACAGAAAGTAAAATGGTCATTGCCAAGAGATGGGGAGTCATTGTTTAATGGGTATAGTTTTAGTTTTACAAGAGATGGAAAGTTTCAGGGATGGACGGTGGTGATGGTTGTACGACAGTGTGAATGTATATAACATCACCTAGCTGCACATTTTAAAATAGTTGAGATTATTACGTGTATTTTACCACAAAAAAAGACAAAACAAACCAATACCACCACAATAAAATCCTTTAGGCAAATCATTTATTATCTCAATATAGTGCTATATTCCCTTCAATGTTAAGTATCATTTCCTTTCCAATCTTTCTTTAGCTTGCTGCAACTTAACATCTACTAATTAACAAAAATGCCCTTTAATCTAAGTCTTCAATTTCCTCAAGCTTTCTACACTTCTCACTCATCTCTCCACCAATGATTCCCTAGCTCACTTTCCACCCGATTATTTCCAGTGGTTCTCAGTCTCTTTTCTTGGCCTATTAATTTATTTACTATTCATATGACTCATCCTTAACTAAACACCCAGACCAGCAGTGATGACAGTCATACAAAATAACTTCTATAAAGCAGGTACTCAATAAATGTTATATATGCTAAGAGCTGGAAAGTTTAAAAAGAGAGCATGTGGGTGTAGGAAATAAAACTAAAGAGGGAAGATTGTTCAAAACAAAGGTGGCTAACAATAAAGCTAGGACACATAACAGACTTTACTAGGTAGACAGGGGGAAAGTGTCCTTCCTAGGAATAGCAAGAGCAAAGTTTCCTTGACAAGAAGACATGGAGACATCGTCAGAGAACTGCAAAACAGTATAATCAGCAAGGAATCAGGATACTTACAAAGGAAATAATGAGAGTGAAGATTAGGAAAGGATCAACACAACACTGTGTAAAAGCATGAATATCAAGCTGAGAGTACAGATTTATTGAAAGGGGCAAACAAAGGCTTCTGAGTGGGAACAAAAAACAATAAAATGAGATGCCTACTATCTTAAAAGAAATTAATCATTTGGGGGGTGGGATGGGATGTGTATGAAGAAAACATGTTTGTACAAGAATACCAAACAGGATATTTCCCATTTTCCTTAGCACTAATTTACAGTCTCCATTTTTAAAAAAACAAACAAACAAAAAAACAGTAAGAAAAGCTGTCATTTAAAATATCAATTGTTACTTTTAAATAGTAATGAAGTGACATTAATTTCAGGAATGCCCCGCCCCCTAGATAGATGGTGACAAGTATTAAGAAAAAAAAATTAAGAATAAGGGAATAGGCCGGCCAGCATGGCTCAGCGGTTGAGCATCAACTTATGATCTAGGAGATTGAAGTTCAATTCCTGGTCAGGGCACATGCCTGGGTTGCAGTTCAATCCCCAGAGGGGGGTAGGTGCAGGAGGTGGCTGATCAATGACTTTCTCTCATCATTGATGTTTCTCTCTCCCCCTTTCCCTTCCTCTCTCTGAAATCCATAAAAATATATTTTTAAAAAAAGAGTAAGGGAATAAAAAGTTTCTATCTTATTTAATGTTTTTGGGTGACATACGAGCAGGGAAGTGAATCAAGTAATGAGAGAATATCTGAGGGCAGAGAATTCTAGGCTGAGGTCAGCAAATGCAAAGGTCCTTAAATAAAAATATGTCCATTTCTGTTTCTAGCCCCAAATTCTAGCCAGTGCTATTCTGCACACGTGGATTTAATTAGAGTGGTTAGTAAATCAAGCACTGGGCTGGATGGATACAATAGAGAAAAAGACATAGCTGTGGACCTCAAAGAAAGTAGTCTTTTAAATGGCTCTTCTGTTTCATATCCCCTTACAAGCAGTCTCAATTCAAAAACATAAATTGTCTCTAATCAAGAAATTACAATGATTTATCAAACTAACTGCCCAGGCTGTTTTCTCCACCCCAGCACACCTGGGATATCTGGTACAGTGAACCTTGCAGTGGTTACTAGAGAGTTTTGTTGAGGTCATAGTGGTAGGGGCTCTTAATCACCCAGGGATCCTCCCGCCCCAATTACATCTGACCAGAGTTCCACCCTGGACCTAAGTCGGAATCTTCAGGTAAAGATGGAATGTGAATCTTGAAAAAGCTTCTCCCATCATTTTGATAACCAGCACAACATACATATATTAACTTTCTCTGCACTAAATTACATGCCAAGAAAATTACTTTTGTTGTGCAAATATTACTGAAATAAAATCAAACACTAATCCTCAAATGCTAAGCACATTTAAATCAACTGACATTTAATTTGCTTTGCTAGCTAGCTAGTATCTGATAGAGTTTAGAGATAATTCTACCTTATCTAAGTCTTTATCTAGAATGTGTTATTAATTTCTAAACTCCATTTCTAAACAGTTTGAGAAAACTACTTCATGATTTTGAATCTTTGGTGAAATTTCTACACAAAATGCAGTAAAAATGAGGGATTTTGGGGAAAAACTACTTTGCCCTGAAAAATCCAAGGAAAGCATTTTAAATATTATTTTAAACACACATACCTGGATTTTGATCTTGATCGAGAATGGGATTCAGAATGTTTGGAAACCCTTGATGGACTACGAGATCCTGACCTGCTCTCCGATTTTACACGAGCAGGAGTTCCCGTTGGAGATTTTGACTGAGAGCGAGACTCCTAACAAAGAAGACAGTATTACAAATGGCACTGGTCACGTAGATGCCTAACACCTAACATTTAAAGTACCGTAATTATTTATATTGATTGCTCCTGAAAAACAAATGGTTAGGCAACACCCTCCAGAAAAAATTTCAGCTCATTAATAACCCATTGTTAATACTGCTAACTGTCCTCAATAATTCCCTACTTGAACCAGATCACCAATCCTCTATTAACTAAGTAATCATGCAAATTCATCTACAACTTGATCATACAGACACTGGAACATAAACCATACATTTACTTAACCTAGGACCCATTCATTCTTCCAGATTCTTTTAATTCTACTTCACTCTTGCTTTCTACTTCTCTTCATTCTTCATTGAGTTTTTCATTTTTCATACTTCGTGTATTCTTCCCCAATTCAAACAATTCAAAATAGCCTTAAAAAAATATTCAAGTGCTTCTATCTGACCAATCTTCTGTTCAATTTTTTCCCCCATTCAATTTTAATTTTCTGATCTTTAATACTTTTCATTAGCCTTCTTTTATCTTGATTTATCTTCCACATTCTTGGAAAAAACTCTTCAATTTCTTCACGAACATTAACCTTAATGGAAAAAGAACATTTAGTATATTTAAGCACGTGGGGATTATAAAACTCTGCTGGAGTTCAGAATGTTATCTACCAAATGGAAAGCCAGCAGGTAAAGTGCAAATAACTAGTTTATTTAAAAAACAATTTTATAATCTTTAAAACTGCTCAAAAGTCTAGTTTCTAAAAATTAAAGAGAATTTACTGAATTTTTCTAAATGTTTTTACCATACTCTTCACCCTCCTCCCCTTTCATGTTTCATCCTAGTTCCTACAATGTGAACAATTTTAATGTAAATACTTAATTCGAGCATAAATCTAACATGAACTGTAATCCCCCACCTACGTTTTACATTTTCACTAATTTATAACCTGATGGTTCCTAGTGATCTTAAAATAAGCTTTCACTAAGCCATGCAAAGCGTCCTAGCCTGAAGTATTTGTACACACCTATCTAACTCAAACATTACAGGATACATGCTGAGGTTCAAAAAAGTAGAAAAAAATTAGTACAATTACTAACATCTCCCATTTTGTTTGACCACTATCTTTGCTCACTCCAACTTAACCAGGGAGGTAGGTTCTGAAGTAAAACAAGCATTCTGAAAAAAGTAAGGGGAAAAGAAAGCATGAAATTCTTAAAATTTTCCCCTTGGCTTATAAATTCCTAATATATGTATTTTTGCAACTGTGTCATTTTAAAATTCTGTATTATCCATTAAGTATCTTAATGCACAAGAATTTATTACAAAATTAGTAACATGGTCTTTATTTTTATCCCACCTCTTTTTGTTCATAGTTCTGCAGATTTTATGCAGTTATGCATATTTATACTCTCCGTTCAGTGACTATATCCTATATGAGAAAACTGGTTGGCTTCTGAAAAAGCAGACTAAAAACCCCCCAAAACTTGCCAAATCAAACAATTTCAAACTGATTAAAAGCCTGTTTTTTAAATTTGAGATACATGAGGGACTTACGACCAAAGTAGGATGGGCAGCTTGGTTTCTCTGGCAACTTAAGTCTTGATTACTAGTGTAAATAAATTATCCCAATTTCACACCAATTTTCATTTACGCCAGACTACCTACCATGCAATCTTCTTAAAACTTCTCCTTTACATTTAACTTAGTGTCAAGAACTGTACTAATGCTGCTAAGCATATTTACTTTTTCAGATGAAAACAAAACTGAAATATATACCTTTCCTGTTCAATATTAACCTTTCCCATTTAGCCATCTACAGTAAGTCCTTCACCACATCTCACATACTCTCTAAATTTCTGGACAGATGCCTGGAACAGAACAGCAATTTAGGCCTTTTCATTCACTGAAACTGTAAAAGCAGCATATTCAGTACTTTTTTAAAAAAAGGGTACAAATACTTCGCTTGTAATTGCAGTTTCACAGATTGGTTCACTAACTATGCTAAGAATATCTTCCCCTCTCTATAAAACAGATCCTCTGGTATAACATTCATTTATGCTACTGTTGAACAGCAGTAGATGGAACAGTATCTATGAACATCACCACAGCCCTTGTCATACATACATATCAGAGCTTTGTGCTCTGTGACACTGTAAAATCTTTAATTTTACTAGGACAGAAATAAAACTCTTGTATTATTAAAATACCAAATTTATTCTTAAATGTTTATGTGAAGCTTTCTAGTAAAGGATAAAAATTTTATGATCTAAATATGTGTGCCTATTTGATTTTAAAACCTTCTCTCATCAGCATGACTAATGGCTGAAAATTATTCAGTAATGCTGAAAATTACCACTTCTTAGAAACCAATGTAAACAAGGTAATCAATAACACCTTAAATTTTAAATCCCAGTTCTGGCACAGCACCTCATTGGAAAAAATGTAACTTTCCTTTTATTTGTTAACAAAGCATTAATATATGACAATATCTTTTCAAAAGACATTAGCATATTTTTAAAGATGGCTTGCTTTTTATCCAAGGTGTTACAAATACCTAACCACTTTTGTTTCCTACCCTTCAATTTTGTTTATCAGAGAACCTAAATCTGCATAAATTTCTTCATGGAATCACTGAAGGTTAAGAAACAGTTCTCTTTACTCCTAGTTTCAAAGCTGTGACTATTAGCTTAACCTCCCGAAACAATTTAGAGACTTGAGACTTTAACACAAAAAAATGTAAACTAAATAAAGAGGAAAAAAATAAAAAAAGAATAAACTGCCAAGAATAAAATATACCTTTAATTCTTCAGAATTATTTTTACTATATACCAAAAAAGGCCTGTCGTAAGAACTAGTAGTTAATCAATAGTCCACACACATAGAAAAATGGTCATATTAATATTTACCATTTTTAAGCAACTTCTTAAAAGTTGGTGCCAAATAAATGCCATTTTCACTGAACTGTACATCAGAAACCAGGCTACAATAAACCCTTTATGGACAAATGCTACATTATCCTTTTCAACCTTTAACTTGTAGCCACATCGTATCACAAATTTTAATATAAATCTTAAATAGGCTTGCATTCTATCATAAACCAAGAGTCAGGCAAAAAGTTCTCACCACACAACCCACTCAAATAATGTGTTTGTTTTTTAACTGTTCTTTACTATCAAGGTATCACTAATGGTAGCTGAAGGACATAGCCAAAAAAAACCAACAAAACCAAACCAAAAAACAGAGGGAGCTAACCATAAATATTAAGAAATTTAAGAGTATTCAATAAAGCCATCTAAGAACCATCTTTCTTTTGTGTTAAAATACAGGTGTATTTTGCACACTGAAAATAACCACAACCACCTACTATTCCTTTAACCAGGAAAATGGGTTATTCAATATGTGCACATATTGCTGCAGAACACAATTCCTACAGCAAGCAATAATTGCAGTGTGTGGTTTTTTAAATAAAGCTAGTATCATATTATAGGTGAAAAAATTCCACCAATATATGCTTAGTACTTAAACACATAGCCAATATAAATGCTACACACTGTAACCCATCCTACTATTATGGCAAGGTAAACTCTATGCCAAGTAATAGTGCCAAGCTTACACAAATTCCAGTCTCTATGACTAGAATATAAGCTTTTGAAACAAACTTTTTCAAAATATATTTTCCCACTACTTTATGAAACTGGGTATCTGTTTCCATAGAAATACACTAGTGCATTTAGGTAAATTTTATGTCCAAGGGAAGGGGGTGCTTAAATTATCCAAGTAACTTATATTATACTGTACTAAGAACCTTACTCTTTAGGACATGTGGGAAACCCATGTTCACTTGTCTTTCATTTTAGTCGACAGAAATAGCAGTTCTGCCTCCTTCTTCTTGAGTATGATAGGCTGCTTCTTTTATAGACTCTTAGGCCTATAAAAGAAATACTCTCAGTCTCAATTATTAACTCCTAACTGCTATTAGAGCAATTCCTTAGAAAGAAAATACCAAATGCTCATAACATTAGCTATTTTTAAATGATTTCCCTTTCTTTAAGGTCACACCTGTATGATGCATTCTGAGTGAGGTTAAAGTGCCTTTGTACGTGCAAAGGCTCGTGGATCTTCTAACACTGTATGTGTCTACATTTTGTCAAGTTTGGAATAATTCTGGAAATGCTTAACAAAGAATTTGCCTTTACTCATATATAATCAAATTCATGTCACAACTATGAAATTACCGTAAAATTTATAATCTTCGTACAGATTTTAAATGTGGCTCATAAACCTGCCAGCTTATATGCCATGAGCAATTGTTACGTCCAAAAAGCTAGTGTATGTGACAATTTCAAAGGTACAGAAAACAAGTTTAAAAGAACTAAAATGGTTTAGGTGTAATAAAGCCAGTAAGTAAATGGCAACTAAAAGCAAACTACTAAAATAAGAATCTGTCAAAGAATTCTCTACTTATGTTTTCATCTTCTAATGCCATGAAGTATTTATGAATCTTGAATAAGACCTACAGGGCCTTAGTTTCAAGGAACAATCATAACTTTTCCTTTACCTCAAATGGGTCAGGCCTAGTCACTCGCATCTTTCATGAAAATCCTGAGAAAATAAGGACTATACACAACTATACAGGGCAGTAACTTAAAGGAGGGAGAGGAAACCACATTTCCTTTCATTATTCCCCTCAACTTTCTTTCACAGGGTTTACTAATTCTTTTCCCCATCTGATCTTTACCATTTTCTCACCTCCATTTGTCTTGCTAAATCTGTTAGGACATATGAACAAGTATCAGTATTAATTCAGTATGTAAATATATACCTTTTACAAAGGTTCCACGGTTAGTTATTTGATGCCCAAGCACCCACTGATACAGAGTTTTTTCACACTGCCTGGCAAGTTCTAGGAAACTAAGCTGATTATTTAGGGCCATTTCACACTTGTTATATATATCCTAGGTAAATAACTTTAGTTTGTTTACAAAAATCAAGTCCATAAAGCTTATTTGTATTTCTTAATGGAGCTCATTCCTAAATATTTAAATCTCTTGATATTCTTTCAGGTCACAAAACCATTATTCTCTTTTAGCAATGGTACAAATCTTAAGCAGCATCTATGATAAATCTGTAAAATTACAGTTATGCACTGTGAATACAATTATTTGCATTACTCCTTTCAAAAATCTTACCTTCTACATACTTGTATTGAGCAAATTAGTACCCTTTAGGGAAAGAATCTCAAATGTAAAAATTTGAGCATTAAAATTGGATAATGAGCCCTGGCTGGGCAGCTCTGTTGGTTAGTGCATCATCCCAATATGCCAAGGTTGCAGGTTCAATCCCAGGTCAGAATCAACCAATGAATGCATGAGTAAGTGGAACCACCAATTAATGTCTCTCTCCCTCTGCCCCCTCCTCTCTTTCTCTCTAAAAATCAATCAATCAAAAAAACTGGATAATGATAATACTAACTTTAGGAAGATAAGCCCAAGACAAATAAGACTGTCTCAACTTTACTACTACACCTACTATAAGAAAGAAAGCTTTATCTTTTTCTAATAGGTTGATGTGATGAGAAAGGAAATTGCTGAAGAAGCTGAACTAAAAGCTAAACATTTTAGCTGAACTAAAAGCTAAAGTGCTGACATTTTATCTGTAAAATAGGAATTCAATTTTATTTACATTGAATTTGTTTATTTTAAACCCTTACTTATTATTTTTAAACTTCCATCAATGGAAAAATTTGAAACCCAATTTAAGTTTTTTTGTTTGGTTTTTAAAAAGGAGCCAGTCACCAAGCTGGATTTTGAATGGCATAGTCATCGCTCCTATTGTTATAAATCAGGTTTCACAGAAGAAATAAACCTTCCCCTATTCCTGCTGTTCAATGAAATATCAACACACAAATTTTAATTCCAAATTGGTACAAATTTGTTTTGCTTTTCATTTGTATCATCCAGTCAATAATCACATATATTAAGAGGAACCCTAGGAGTCTCTTTAAAAAATAGGAATGAGCTCTAAAAAGGGGGCAGAAATAAGTAGTATTTTTCCTCTTTAGCTGTACTTCAAAACACAGACAACTGTGGAATAAGATACTCCCCTAAACAAAACAGAATCATTAACCTCTATTAAAACCACAGGGTCATGGTATGAGAAAAAAGATGGACTCAATATTTTTCTAAGTTTCATTAAAAAATCTAGGGAAAGAGGGGAACAAAGTAAGTGAAAATACGAAAAGCTTAATTTCCATTCCCCTTAATTTCTCTAAAGGGCACTAAGATTTTTTTGAGATAGAAACCCTAATTTTAGTTGAAGCTGTGTGAAGCAAACAACTCATTCTTTTTGACATGCAAAGTCATAGCTCAAGTGCCAACCTAACTTCCAGCTCCAAAAGACATTTTCACTTAAAATATTTGTTAACATGATATACATGCCCCAAGCAAATTGTTTTAATGAACCACTGTTCTCCTGGAGCCCTTGAAACTGTCTCTCATTCTTAACATCCCACTGATGTCCTGTTTAGACCAGATTTTTCATAATTTCCTTCCTTAAATATTTAAACTGCTCTGCTGCTCCTCCTGTACCAGTTTGTTCTGTGCTAAAATCCCTTTCATTATGCCACTCCCAGAAATAATAATCCATAGATGGCTCATTACTGCATGTTAGATTAAGTCTAAATTTGTAAATTTAAAATTCAAACCCTCCATTATCTGGCTGCATATTCAGTCAAATCTCTGATCTCTCACTATTACAGCAACCTACTCATTGTCACATCTATACAATCAATATTCATTTCCCTAACCAAAAGATCCAAAATAAGTTCCACATACCAGGTAAAGTTTTCCCTTTCTGTAGCTCAGAGAACTGCTCAGGTCCTTTTTCTGAATTCCTTATTAATTCTATCACACAGCACTTGATTATGTACTTACTTTACCTAGATTTGAGCTGTCAGTCATTTCAAACAAGACTTCAAGATTTTTCCCCCTGAAGAACATCTGGCCTTTATAGTAAAAAGGCAGCAGATGCCTAACAGTTTTACCTCAGGCAGAAGGGAATTTTGGTTGGTTAAGTCTTAGGGTTATTCATAACTAAACTGAGTCAAGTATATTTTCTTTCCTAAAGTTTTTTTTTACTCCAGTGCTTTAAAATGGAAGAGACATTAATCTATAATGGAAAATTAAGCTCCTGTAACCGTGTTTAGTAAAATCCATTAATGGCTCCGAGACACAAATACAGTGCATTCTTTAAAAAAAAATAAAAATATATACAACATAGTGCTGTACACAATGAGCAAATGACTGGGACTTGTACATTTCAGATTCCTGGCTGCATGGTCTTCTGGGCCTCAGTTTTTAAATTCTAAAATGGTAATAATACTCTAACCCTTGAAAAGTTAGTGAGAGAAGTAAATTCGAAAGTATGTCAAAGTTTTTTGGAGGGTGGGCATAGATTCTAAAATTCTATAGAAGTACAAACCCTTAGTATTAGCCCTGTCTCTTTAATGTGTCCTGCACTCTCTAGAAAGTTGGCCTCTAATTCTAAATATCATTTCAGTAAGATGGGGTTAATGTGTGCTGTTTACTCTGTAGATAAAGCAAATGAAATCTGAATATGGACCTGTCAGTTTTCTCTATTTTAGTCAAAAAGTTTGAAATGTAACTACTTTAAACACCTTGAAATCCTTTTCTGAGCCTTTCTAAATTTATATAAAGAACACAATTGTGTTCTCTAAGAACTTTAAAAACTGCTAGTTTGTGGTTAGCAGATAATCACTGTACTTTAAAAACCAAAAGCACTAGTGAATTGCTTTAAGTAAAAAAAAAAAAAAAAAGTAAATCCTCGGAAAAGCTTCTGGCATTCTTCTAATTCTTTAACCAATTATGGATAAAACAATTACCTCAACCTACAAAAAAAAA